AAAGGTTGTATTAGAAGTGGACAAGTCCTTACCTCAAAAAAATAAAAATTTAAAAAATTTCACCTTAAAAAACATGGAGAATAATGTAAATGTAATGAATATAAAATATAAATCTTCTGTGGTCACATTTATCTTCTGCTCAACGCGTGCATCATCAAGTACCCAATGAACTCAAATGATCAAATTTACAACCATTACTCGAGTAATCATGCATTATTACTATCAAAACCTACTGAATTCTCTATATTTTTCTTCTATTGTTGCCATCATACCAAATTAATTGATTACAACTTTTTATATGTCGGTGGTCCAACCGCGGAATTAAGTCATTGAACATCAATTTGTAGTAATTTGAGTCAATTGACTACAATTTAACTGTAATCAAAGCATTATATCTTAGGTTCAATAAGATGACATGACTGAACCAACTCAATTGACCGTTGAAACTAATGATTGCTAGCCATCCACAAAAACTTACTCATCCAATCAATTGCACATTACGTATTAGGTAGCGAACGTGTATTTTGACATTTCACTGAAGCACTTTTCATTTTCACGTTCATAACATATTCTATCAAAGAGACAAAGTTCGTGAAATCGTACTTTCATACTTTTAAGTCACTCATCGTAGACGTCAATAACATGTTTCACATGAAAGCAATTGCACATTGGCATCGACAAAAATAATTTATATGGACCAATTGTCAAAATGAGGTACCATTGAATGAACTCATGTCCACTTAATATCCTAGGAGAAAATTACAGATGTTGCTCCACGTCTTTTATTTTGTGTGGAGCGAAGTCCGCTATGTATAAAGAAGGATAACATCCACACAACATGTCAATCCAAATTTATTGGATTTCATTTTCCCCAATTATGTAACCTTTCAGATTTGCTCTTGAAGGAGAATGAAGGCTGGAATACCAACAAGCAAATATTATTTTGGCCTGCAGAAAAGGAACCAAGGTTGAAAAGATTGAAAAAGAAATAAAAAATAAAAATAAAAATTGGTCATTCACTACCTCTGATGAAAGATTCCTGGAAAAGTTATGAATTAGACATGTTTAATATAATATATTAACTAAAATTAAAATGATGAGTAATAGACATATTGCACTTATGGTATTTACGAATTTTACTACTTACATACTATTTTTCTTTTTCTTTTTATTTTTCATTTTTTTTCTTTTTGTGAGCATTGATAAATAAAGTATTTGGTAAAGTAATTATCGAGTAATGAGAAAAATATATAGTAATATGTACCCTGCATTTATATTCCAAAGAATTTATTACTCTTAACATGCCCGGTCCTAGGGCCTCAAATTTCAGGTGGCCTGAATTGGATTAAAAAGGAAAAAAAATGCAGCTTGGATCATTAAATATACCCCCCATTTCAGCAAGAAATCATTTCCGTAAACTTACATCTTTTGGCTGAATTGTACAGCAATTCTTCGGTAGAACCAATTTTTGCAAGAACCTATTTGAGGAAAGATGATTTACTGCAGATTTTGCTAGTTCTGAAACTTCCAAGAAAAGGAAGGGTAATGGTTTTTGTCTTTTACTTCATTAAGAGTGAATCTTATTTTAGATAGAGTGGATATTACAAATATGAGTAGATTTAGTTGATGCATTTAAAAAATTGGGTCATGCAATACCCTCTTAAACTCCAGAATCTCAAGATTTAGAAGAGAAAATTGATAGAGATGATGGGGGTAAACAATATTGTTCAAGAACATATTTCGAAAAATTGGTGCAAGACTAGGATTGAGAAGAATGGCTTGCATATGAAATATTAAGTATTACTACACTTATATAAAATACTTTTTAAGGACCTCATAATAATTACTAGTCTGGGACATTAAAACTCTCGAGGCAGGCCCTAACTCTTAAAATCTATTCAAACTAGGATTTTATATAGTTTCCTCGTACCAATTAGGCCTGGTAAAAAAAATCGAAAAACCGCCAAATCAATTAAATCGAACCAACTCAGGTTGGTTCGACACATGTAATTAGTTTGATTTGATTTTCTTTTAAACAAAATCATGGTGGGTCGATTTAGTCATAATTTGAAGTCTCAAACCATTGATTAACCGAACCAATCCAATACACTTACATGTTTACTTTCTTTTCTTTTTTTAATTTAAGAAAAATAAAAATCAAAAGATAAACTCTAATCTCTAAATTATATTTCGATTCTCTCCAATCTATAATGTTGTCTATAAATAATAGCATTGAAAGAATAGGTCATTCAAGGTGTCAATTTTTTCTGACAACTTGACTTAATTCTTTTCCTTAACAAAAGGCTAAATGGACAGGGCCAAGTCCAGACGAGAGGCTGACTTGGCCCCCCTGGATTTGGGCCTGACCCTGACCAAACAGCACCCTTCTTTCCTTAATTCAACCTTGCTAGGCTCCCTGACTGCCTTCCCACAGTGGGGGGGAGGGGCGAGAATTTTGTCTTTTTTTAATTCATATGGATCCTATATGTCAAACATTTTCAGGGAACTATTTTAGTTCTCACTAAATTAGGGTGTATGTGGGGACCTTAGAAGGTACATGGTTAGGTGGTTAGAATGGCCAAAATCGTAGCCACGTTGCTCCCTTTCTGAGCTGGAATATGGGTGTCACTTAACCATACACTATGGTTAGGTATGGCTACTGTCGACTTCCTGTAATGTGCTTTCGCTTAGATATTTTTTCATTTTTCAATTTTTCAATTTTATTTATTTATTTATTTAATTTTTCCTGGGAATTTGAAAGTTGAATAGGATGGAAACGGGGCAGGACTTGATGGGAAGGCTCCTCCATCCCGTTGGAGATTTTGGAGAAGTGGGGTACGACGGAATTAAAATGTATCTATTTATTTCTCATTTGCTTTTAATATTGTTTTTGACATTTTTAAAATACGATTTAAATTTAAAAAATAAAAATAAAAGCCGGAATGGGTTCACGATCACATTCCCTGTTCCCGCCTTATGCCCGATGGGCAGGGTAATCCATACCACTATTTGGAGAGAGAGAGAGACTACACGTAAAGAAGAAAAGTTGATAAAATTGTTCCGGAATAGATAAAATGGGAATGGGTGGTTTTTATTTGATAATATTTTATTTACATGGGGTCCACATCCTATGTAAGTATCTTTATCATTTCTGTGAAAAAATCTTCTGTACAAATGGCAAAAACCATTTGGAGAGGGGGAATGTCAGAGTATTTTGCATCCCTAGGTTGAATTTTGTAACATGCTCTTATAATAGAGTAAATTTTGGGGGTGACACTAAACTTCTAGTGAAATTTTAATTGGGTCATTTAAGTTCAATTTGTTTCAAGTTGTATCATTCCATCACATGTCATATTGAAGATAAAAGGTGTAGAGAGGTATCTCGGACATTAATATGAAAGCTTGACAATAATCGCATATCCATAAAATGATGCTAGCATGGCGTCTTCAATAGATGCGGTGATTTGAGCATAGCAATCAATCAGGGGTGGAAATAAAGAGATGTAAAATTTATAAAGATTTGTCTCAATAGGACTCCATCATCTTCCTTCACTATAGTAATTCGTTATGATGAGAAATGTATTTAATTAATTGTAGAAAAAAATAAAGATACGTAAAATTTATAAAGGTTCGTCTCAGTGTGAAACTACATCATCTTCCTCTACAGTAATAACTCACTATATTTTAAAAAGTTTTCATGAGAAAATTGCACAATCTATCTTCTTTAACCTTCTCTCTCTCTCTCTCTCTCATGATGGTAACAAAAAAAAAATGTAATCATGACCTCCTAAGAAGAAATTTACAAGGACGCAAATTCTTTTAAATTGTACTTAATGAAATTTTGGGCTGATGAGCAACCCAAAAGAAGGGCTTCTTGTCCTCCACAGTGACCTTTCAATGGAGGACAATCCATGTACTAACTTCGCAAAGTAACAATAATTAAACTCTACAATTTAACAATTTTGAGTAGACAAGGAAAATAAAGGTTATTGTGGGTATGTTTATTTGATTCCATTGAATTTTGTTATTATTATAAGAATCAAAGTAGGCTCTTATTCAACGCTAGTGACTCTCTTTAAGAATCAAAATAGGTAGGATATCTTAGATACGATGAAAATATCGGTTTGATTGAAAAGTACTTCAAAATATTGATGGTTAAGATTGTTACTGATTATAACGGTAATTGAAAAAATCTGCAAAAAGTAGCAACAAGATCATGAATCCAAATAATTTATATGTTCCCCAATTTACCATTGAATCTCTCATGCTTTTCTAGCCACCATCATTCTTTTTATCTTCTTCATCACATGACATGTTTAATTTGCTTGATCTATGAAATGTCTACCAAATTTTCTTTTACTCATCAAAGCCCATCCTAATCCTAGTCAAGATTACTGCGTTTGTTCTATCCTACTATTTGTATAATGGATTTCGTAGTTTATTGACGGATTTTTCCCTACTTAGGTATTTTGGAGGAGTGGTTCACTAAACTCCCAATGTCACGCGTTCTCCAAGTTTGGAAGATAATGTCTCTAATTTTCTCAAGTTTAATGACATCGCTCGCTTTAAGTTTTGAGTTGTGCCTTTAGCCCTTCTTCTTCTTCTTTTTTTTTAAGCTTCTGAATTAAGTGCTTGTTTGATTTAAATTTTTAGCATATAAAATTTATAATAGTTGATGAATCTCGTGAAAACAATTATGAATTGAATGAAATGTGTGGTTAAATATAAATTTGACCAGTTTAATTAGCTTTCTAGCAAAAGTAACTTACCAAACAAACATTAAGATACATAGTGTGTGTGTGTGTGTGTGTGTGAGAAAATCGAGCAAGGGAAATTGTTAGTGATTTATAGCAATTTTACATCTAATCAATAATAGCTAGTTAAGAGTAAACTTTGTCAACAATAACGAGTTAAATCTTTCATAGGAGATGATAAACTAATTAGAAGATAAAGTTAGTTATTGAAAATCTTTCCTAGCTATAATAGATTAAAAATATGTATTATGTGAATAATAGAATTATTAATGAGAAATCTTTGATTGTACAAGGAAAACCATAAGGAACACAATAGAATTATAAATATATGAGAAATCTCTTGTTGTACAAGTATGATTTCCTTGAGATAATAATAGAACTTATTTTCATTACAGTAGCATTACTTGATACATAGCGTATTATGTGCAACACAATTTGTCTATCAAACTGACACACTATGCAGCACCACGGTCTCAACTGTCAGGCCCGGCCCGAACCCGAATAGTACTCCCCACTCAAACCCTTCACCACTTGTGCACAGCCCCTCCTTGGTAGAGGACTTCCTCATTTCATCCATAATAAACAACACACAGGCGCTCGACATGTTCCCATACTCACTTAAGACGTGCCTGGTCGACCGAAGTTTTTCGGGCTTCAGGCCCAATTTTGACTCCACCTGATCTAAAATTGCAGGCCCACCAGGATGTGCAATCCAGAAAATTGAGTTCCAATCAGATATGTTTAGAGGATCAAATGCCTCTTTTAGACTTTTCTCAATGTTCTTCGATATCAGGCCAGGAACATCTTTTAGGAGATGAAATGTTAGTCCCACTTCACGTAAATGTCCATCAATTGCACCCTCGCTATCTGGAAGAATAGTTTGAGCAGCTGAAACCAACTGAAAAAGTGGTTGCTCAACCCCGACCACCGGGTCGGAACCGACTATAACAGCAGCCGCGCCATCCCCAAACAGGGCCTGACCCACAAGGCTGTCCAAGTGTATCTCACTTGGGCCACGAAACGTGACAGCAGTGATCTCTGAGCAAACCACGAGTACACGGGCTCCTTTGTTGTTCTCCGCTAGGTCCTTGGCCATGCGCAAGACAGTGCCTCCAGCAAAGCAACCCTATCACGTCGAATAATTATAAAATATTAATTTATAAACGTTAAGTACTTGTGTTTCTTAAGACATTTTGAGATGAATAAAGCTACTCGAATGGGGCCATCTCAGCCCTGCTGTTCGCCCTTTTGAGATATAAGCTCAAGATTCATTACTTGTTGGTACATCATGAAGCGTTTGACAGAAGAACGGAGCCCGAGGAGTTTGGTCAGCTGGTAGTCCGCGCCAGGCATGTCGACCCCACTCGTGGTGCAGAAGACGAGGTGAGTGATTTTCGATTTGGGCTGACCCCATTCCTTGATTGCCCTCTGGGCAGCTTCTTTGCCTAGTTTAGGGACTTCCACTACCACAATATCCTGCCTAGCATCAAGGGATGGAGCCATATATGCACACATATTTGGATTCTCCTTCAAGATTTCTTCATTTAAGTACATGTAACGTTTCTTGATAATGGATTTATCACCTGAAACATTGTAAAATTGATTAAAATAAATTATTTAAATCTATATACAGTAGTAGATTACACCAGGATCTCTGTTTATTCTAAGGGAATTTAAAATATATGTATATTGATAAATACTTCTTCTCATGCAAAATCCATGTCCCTGAAAACCTTTTTTTAGTAAAAATTAAGTAACACAATTTGAAATTTTTTCTTGGCTTAATATTTAAGAACTCGTATTGACTTGTACGTACATAGACGCGTACAATAGTGTGAAATTTGACGTGACAGTTGAAAGAATGATGCAGTGAATTTAAACTTTTCTTGAACTTACTTCGTACAAATGCTTTTCTGAAGGTGATAGAGAGATTCCGAAGCCTGCTAAAGCTTAAATGTACTTCAACTTATAATTATTACACGTTTGGCCTTGACATTTTTAGCTGGGATCGTGCTATAGCTGTAGCACGATTCACACCTTTTTTCACAGCCCCCTCACATCGGGGGGCCCGCACACATTAAAAAAAATAGAGGTAGAGCCCCCTCATTGTAAGGGGCTGTGAAAGCTGCTGTACAGCCCAAGCTGTACAAGCAGCTTAATGCTTTTTAGCTATTTTTCTGGACAATATGTATTGATGTGACAATACGTATTGTCCTAAGCATCACATATTGTCCTAAGCAGCTTTTAATCACGATCTAACAAGTATTTTATTCCATGAACTAAAAAAAAATAAACTGAGGGAATTCAAAAAATAGCCTGAAAAGAAACCCTAGAAATGGATATTTAATAAGCTACCAGTAAAAGCAAGCATTTATCTTTCATTGCATGCTGCCTTATCAATGGCTAAATCAAGTACATATACAAATGCATGACAGTAATATCAAAGAAGCTGTTTGTATTGATGATGAATTTTATAGACATTTTTACCGATGATGACATAGCAGCATTTTAATGGTTAGATTTGTGCTATCTTTAACAATTCTGTAAATGGAAATAAATGGAAACAAGTAAGAATTTGCTTCAAACCTTAAAAAACATGTTACTATTTCTTAAAAATGGTGAAGAAAATTATATGTATGTAGCAACTTACACATGCGCTTGAATTTTTCTTTAAGATCGGTCATGTGTTCACTATTAGTGATCCGAAAATAGAAATCTGGATACGAGCTCTGGTCGACGCAATTTGTTGGTGTTGCAGTGCCGATGGCCATTATCGTGGCTGGCCCTTCAGCCCGTTGAGCACGACGAATATCCTCGACCGTAACCATTTTTCGACAAAGTTAGAGTTATAAAGAAAGAGGAAGATTTTATTACTTAGCAAATTATTTTAGGGTGATGGGAGTGTGGTAGAGTATTTATATAGAGGTGAATAAAACTATGTAGCTGAGATTCATGTGGTTGAGCATTGAGCAAACCCCAACAACCATCAGGCCTGGTGGTAGGGAAGTGAGAAAATTTCAGTTTTATCCCCTCAAATTAATGAGATTTGCCGCAGGTACCTAAGTTTCCTAAATATTTAATTCATGAGTTAGGTTTCAACAAACTCGAAGAAATAACATGTTTTTTCTTCCAAATACATGGACAAAAAATAAAAACGAATTTTAATTGTACTCAAAATGTCTATACACTAAAAGAAAATTACTTTTATCCTGTGGCGGATTTAGGAGGCTGGCCTGGGCGCCCATATCAATTTTTGACTGTATTAAATTATGTGATTTTATTTATTTATTTATTTATTTATTTTTTACATATTAGAGCTATTTAAATTTTTATTTTTATTCCAATCCTGGATCCCCTACTTTTATCAATGAAAATCTTTGTTTTGAAAATAAAAAAAAAATAAAAATTTGTTTCTTGAAGTCTTTTTTTCCGATGAGACAAACTATCAATGACTTATCAGACAATTTGTGTCATTAATTAAAAGTGATCTTTTTGTAGTATATGCCATTAATTACACTTATCAGACAATTTGTGTCATTAATTAAAAGTGATCTTTTTGTAGTATATGCCATTAATTACACCAAGTACAAGGATTTTATGAGAAGAATGAACAACTTTAACTCTCTTGAAAGCAGAAAATAGTATACGAGATTAATCACTTCCTTTCTCTCTGAAGATTAGGTCTGACAATATATCTATATATATTCCTTACGAAATAGGATCATCTTCATGCAGTGATAGTGTTAGAGTATGTGACCCTAATTCTATCTGGTTTGGATCGAAAAGCTCGCTGTGTGACATATATGGTGGAACTAAAATTATAAGAATTTTTAAGTTCTGTGGTGGTAGCGGAGTATTCTAGAGTTTCATTGTATAATTCAAAGTAGCCTCTAAAATACTTATTTTTTTGTACTCGTCTTTGATATAGTGAATTTTTCCTCATTCACTGTGATTTATCGTGATTTTACGTAACAAATAGTTTAAATTTATATATAAAAATTAGCACAGATAATTAATTGTGGATTAAGAGAATTGGGGTTGTAGTTTGTGTGACCTAAAAATTGCACAGCAAGGTGGGTAAATAATTAAGAGGCTACACAGGATATGCCATGTAAACAGCCACTTTATTGTGGAAGTGTAAAGAGTCTTCTTTTCTATATGATATGACTTGTCCAGAAGAGGAGAGGGGGCACGCTATAATGAATGAAGGATGTCAAGGAAAAATTATGAATCCACAATTTGTTACACCTCATAATCTAAGGGCACACAAGAATAAATGATTCATACCAAATTTGCAACATGTCTGTACTTTCATATGCATCGCTGATACATGAGTTACATGAATAATGCCCCTTATACACTCCGCTCACATAAGGGAGGGGCCACGCCCAATTAATGCACGGGTCCCGCCTCCTATGTGAGGGGGCTTCACACCGCTCGATGTACGTGTAGCATTGTTGTGAGCTACATAATGCAATTTTCATAATAAACATTTTTGCAGGGAAAAAAAATAACCCTCTGCAAATTTATGATAATTTCAAAGACGCCATTTTTTAAAGTTACAAATTCTACACCAATAACATAAATTTTGTTGGTAAACAATTGAGGGTTGGAGAAGAATCTAAATACAAAACCAACAACAATTATGAACAAAACCAACGACGAATTTCAAAATTGAAAGACTAGAACACGTGATCATTGTCCTCAAACAATATTTGCTCTCTCTTCAGATTGTATGAGATACTTCAAGGATTTCTCGAAAAATGGTTTATAGGATTAATCAGGCGTGTTTTCTACTCAAACTTAAAGAACGCAAAAGAGAAATTTGAATATGAAGAGTAATAAGAATTTGATCTTTGATTGTGGAATAATGTATGGAACTCAAGTGTTTTTCTTACTCACAAACTTGAACATTGATCCCATATATATAGACCTTGACCAGATGTATGAAATGGTGCAAAAAAATTGAATGAAAGGCACTACACCAAAAATGGTCTATTGCAACACATAAAAGACAACATTCGATAGTTAAATGTTGCTAAAAGGGTCTATTGCAACATTTGAATAAGTGAATGTTGCAATTAGTCAATCATATTAAGTTTTGGAAATATTTTTAAAATAAACGTTGCCAATGATACTTTTTGCAACGTTTTTGGAAAGTTGATGTTGCAAAAAATAAAACTTTTCGCAACATTTTTTAAATGTTACAAAAGACGCTTTTCGCAACGTTTTTTCAACGTTGCAAAAAATAAAACTTTTCGCAACTTTCCAAAAACGTTGCAAAAGATACATTAGTTTTTTTTTTTTTTTTTTTGTTTAGCCCATTCATTTTTGTGAGCAGCCCATGTCCAAATAAAATTGACCCACCTCTATTTTTTGGCCCAAACAAAATTGTAATTTGAATACCAAAACTCAAGCTCAAGCCCGTAATTGAATCCATTATCCCTAAAATTCCCAAATTGAAATCCCTAAAATTATCCCGTGATTTTATCTCTCGCTCGACTTCTCCTTCTTCCCCTTCCAGCTCCAGTTGCACACTTCCGAAATCAGACTTGACCTCTTCCAGTCTTCCAGAGTTCTAGTTCCGGTCTTCGAGTTCCTCGCTTGGTTAGTTGGCTATTTGGCTTCGCAATTTGCTGGAGCGATGGAGGTGCGGAGCCTCAAGGCTCGAGTCCCACTGACCACTATCTCATCTTTCTGGTGAGGTAGCAATGGCTGTTCTGATGCAATTTTCTGTTTCCAAACAAGAAAAGTTCCATTTACTCATCTCTTTGCTTCAACAGATTATGTTTGAAGATGGCAGCTCGGAGTTATTAAATTTTTCAAAAGAGGAATCGGAATTTTGCAACAATTAATGTAACTTGTAAGTGACTTTCCTGCCCACCGATGAGTTTCCAAATATTGATTATGCCTCTGGTTTTACGTGTACTTACCTTGCTGTCTTCCTCTGTACATCAAGCCCAGAAGTTGTTTGCTATATTGTCGTCTTACAAAAGAGAACGTGTTATTGTCTTATTGACCTTTAAATCCAAATTAGTCACTGAATGTATACTTTTTTCTGCCTATTGTGAGTTTTAGCATATTGCATTCCCAGATATTGTGAGTCAATATCTGCTTTTATGATTCCTGTTTCTGGTTGAGAAAGGTTGCATACAGCTTATGGAATCATATATTCACTTGTAAATAATAAAATGACAGCACTATAATAGGCTGAGAAAGTGATACTTGTGTAGCACTATAATGGACTCTTGCATTTAATATTACTTCAAGGTTTACAGACGTTAAAATAAAATTAAAGTTCAATGATCAATGCTTCTCTTTCAAAATTTCAAGCCTCTTTGTAGAGTTGAAGTCCGGCAAGCAGGGGTAATTCAGAACAGTTGAATTATTCTAATTTCTAACTGCCCCTTCTTGGAAGAGTAGTGATAGGCCAGCATGTTGTGTGACTTGTTCATCCAGTTTGCTTTTGTGATAGGAAAACTACAGTTTGAATTTAGCATCCGCACTTGTCTAATTCGAATACTTTAACAGGTTCTTTTGATATTGCCTCTTGCGTTTTCTTGTGTGTTTTTGGTAGATAAAAACGGGCCAGCAGGTTTTGATCTATTCTTTGAAACTCACGTTTTCAAGCTATTTTATTTTTTTACCTGTTTGGGAAATGTATTCAAAATTTTCTCCCTCTTATTTGAAATTTTGAATTTTTCAACTGTCCCTGCAGCATTCCAGCTTAGTTTCTGTAGCTAGTCCCTGTAGAATTTTTCACTGGAAATAGAGAGTAGGCAACTGTATATAGTTGTGTTTCACTAGCATATTTTCTGTGTGAGCTGGGCTTTGGATACAAGTTGGAAGTGTGTGTCCATGCACTTGCTGCCTGGTGAAGAAACATAACATTAACAGCCTGTTGCGTTTCTGGACATGTGTACAAACATGGTATTGGTTCATCATTATATGATATATTTTTGAATGTTCAGCTTCTTTAGCCCACACGCTCAAAATTTAGATTCAACCACGTGGACATAGCAAGCATGAAGTTTTTACATGTTCAAGGACAAGACTTGGAGTATATGTAAAAATGCACTTTTGATTTTAGGGTTCTATTTTTTGGGGGGAGTATTATAGAAATCTAGAGTAATTAGTGATATTTGAGGTTGAGTTGCAATGTAGTCATGACTGGTCCAATCTTATTAAGGACTTGCTATTTCTTTCCCATCTACTTTTATCAATTTTCCCAATATAATTAAAAGAAAGTTTTGAAGGTGTCTGATTCAATTGTAAATAAATGGTGCACCTTCTGTTTCTCTCTTTTGTATATAGACATAAATTCATATATTAAATTGCATCTTTCTACAGGCCATGTGGTCTTTGAGGGGTAATCTTATCTAATTCCTGTTATTAACTTTTCGAATTGCATATTTTATGCCTGTGTTTCTGCTAATAGACTTTATTATGCTTGTGAAAATATGCACAGAAAATATGCTAGTGAAACACAACTATATACAGTTGCCTACTCTCTATATATAGTTGCCAACTAAATTTGAATTTTTCAACTGTCCCTGCAGAATTTTTCAATATTGTAGCTTTTATACCTAAGATATATTGCGTCAATTTTCTTCTTTCTACTATTTCACCTTTATCCTGTTAATATCTGTTAGTTGGAGCTTAATCCTGCCCGTCTATTTTTTGAATATTGCGATGTTCAGTGTTGGATAGTAGCTTTGCGTATAATGGACAAAGAGTGGCTGCAATTATCAAGGTTATCATCTGAAATTAGATATTATGAACCTAGTTACCAAATGAAAATAATTTCAATGTATAATGATCATAAAGATTTACTTGTAGATTTTCAAGACCATATAGCGATGGAGCACAGAATTTTGTTGAACGAGCTCGTAAAAAATGTAATTCAGAAATGATAGTATGTCCTTGTGTTAAGTGTAGGAATCTAAAGCATCATCATTCTGATACAGTCTATGAACATTTGGTTATTAAAGGTATGGATCCTACATTTACTTCTTGAGTATTTCATGGAGAGCAACCAGGTTCATCAAATCAGAATGTTGTAGAAATGCCTGAGTCGAGTAGGATGTTTAAGGATTTCTATGCACAACATGATATAGATCCTGAAAATCGTCCTGATGAAAGAGATGAAGAGATTGAAAGTTTAGTTAATGATGCTGAAACTCCTTTATATCCTTGTTGTAGGGCATTTACAAAGATGTCAGCTTCGGTTGCAATGTTTAAGCATAAAGCTTCACATGGGTTGTTAGATAATGGTTTTGATGAACTTATAAATCTTGTTCGGGATATGTTGCCCGATAATAATACACTTTCAAACTCATTTTACGAGATGAAAAAACTTGTCAATATATTTGATCTTGGCTATGAAGAAATGCATGCTTGCCTAAATGATTGTTGTCTATATAGAAAGGAGCTTGAGCATTCTTACTTATGTCCAAAATGTGGTTGCTCGAGATGGAAAATTAACAAACGGACAAAAAAAATTTAGAAAAATATCCCAGCCAAGGTCTTGCGTTATTTTCCTATAATACCAAGACTGAAGAGGATGTTTGGAATATATGAGACATCAACACAACTTCGATGGCACTCAAATAATAAAAGCTTAGACAGTAAGATTAGGCATCCAGTTGATTCATTGAGTTGGGAAATGATTAATCGAAGGTGGCCAGATTTTGCATCTGATCCTCGGAATATTAGATTAGGTCTCGCTATTCATGGATTTAATCCTTTCAAAGATCTTAGCTCTAAATACAGTTGTTGGCCAGTAATCTTAACTATATATAACTTGCCTCCCTCAATTTGCATGTCAAAGGAAAGTTTGATGTTGAGTTTATTGATCTCGGGACCAAAACAGCCAGGTAATGACATATATGTTTATTTGGCACCACTTGTAGACGACTTAATGTTGTTATGGAATGATGGGGTTGATATTTATGATGCTGTTACAAAGTCTACATTTAACTTAAAAACTCTTTTGATGTGGACAATACATGATTTTCCTGCATTTGGAAATATATTTGGGTGGCCGGTCAAAGGAAAAATTGCATGCCCTATTTGTCGTGAGAGTACATGTTCACTATGGTTGAAGCATGGTAGGAAGTTTGCGTACATGGGATATAGAAAATTTCTCGCGTTTGATCATCCGTTTCGCATAAAAAAGAGCTGGTTTAATGGACATATTGAACATGGTATTAGGCCACAAATAAAAAATGACGAAGAAGATTTTATTGAAGTTGATAAAATTACAAACGATTGGGGAAAAAGTGGGAAATGGAAGAGGAAGAAGAATACAACTCAATCTAATGTAACGTGGAAGAAGAGGTCAATATTTTTCAATCTACCATATTGAAAGGTAATTGTTGTGATATTTCCTTCATTTTTATTCAATACTTATAGTTGTGTATAGTTTTAATGACTCCATTGGCATTTGATTTGAAGACTTTACTTGTACGTCATAATTTGGGTGTGATGCATGTGGAGAAGAATATTTGTGAAAGTATCATCAGTACACTTTTGGATGTCAAAGGAAAATCTAAAGATGACATTAACTCTCGTAAGGACATGGAAGAAATGAATATTAGGCATGATTTACATCCTCAGAGTAGAGGAAATAAATTATATCTACCAGCTGCTCCTCATACCTTATCAAAAGCAGAAAAGCAAATTTTTTGCAAAAGACTTGCTAACTTTAGATTACTCGATGGTTATGGATCTAATATTGAAAATTGCATATCGGTGGAAGAATGTAAGATAGCTGAGTTGAAGTCTCATGATTGTCATATGTTAATGCAACAATTATTATCAGTTGCGTTGAGAGGGCTTCTACCTAAAGAACCAAGAAATTCCATTTTTAAATTGAGTTCATTTTTCAAGGAAATATGTCAAGAAATTATAGATAGAAATAAGGTCGAATAATTAGAGGAGGACATTTCTGAAACTTTATGCATGTTGGAAAGGTACTTTCCGCCTTCATTTTTTGATATAATGGTTCATTTAACAATCCATATTGGTAGAGAAGTTCGTCTATGTGGACCAGTACAATATTGTTGGATGTACCCATTTGAGAGATATATGAAAGTGTTGAAAGGGTATGTTATGAACCGTACACGGCCTGAAGGGTGCATAGCTGAACGATATATTGTTGAAGAAAATGCGAAGTTTTGCAGCAAATACGTAACACAAGCATCTAAAATAGGTTCGAAACCTGTATGCAATGAAGAATACGAGACTAATTTCCTAGTTGCAGGACGTACAATTTCTAAAGGGAAGGCAATTATACTATCCAATGAGATGTTGAAAGTTGTTAATCGCTTCGTGTTACTGAATAGTACAGAAGTTCAACCATACATAGAGTACGTTTATTAAATATAGAGTTCAATAATTTTATGTAGTTAACCATAATTTTTTATATATTTTATTTACCTTAGGTTGCATATGGCTGAATTGAAGAGTTTTGACAAACGACTGGAAAGAAATGAGACTTTATTGAACAAGAAGCACATTGATACTTTTGCTGCCTAGTTAGATAATAAGGTTGGAATACACAACAAATAAATGTCTCAAAGTTGTGCTATTTGTTCTTTTATTTCTAACATTTTTAACATAATAACAGATTCAAATCCATCTATTGACGAACAAAGTTTCAAACAATTTGAAGTGGCTTGCACGTGGTCCCAGATATCAATCCATGTCATACTCTAGTTTTGTTATAAATGGTCTTCGACTTCACACTAAAGATGCAGAAAAATATCGTCAAAATAGTGGCGTTTTAGTTGAAGCAACGACCATATGTAGATCTAGTGCAAAAGATAATGCACAAATAGTTGGGCAAGTTCTTTATTATGAAGTTTTGCGTGACATTATAGTGCTTGACTATAATACGTTTCATGTTCCAATATTCAAATATGATTGGGTAAATATTGTGAACGGAATAAAAAAGGAAGATGGATTCACTTTGGTTAATCTTAATGAAGGACACAGACAATTTGAAAATGATCCATTCATTTTGGCAACACAGGCGAAACAAGTATTTTATTCTAGGGAAAATGAAACATCTAGTTGGTATGTGACTTTGCAAGCGCCACAAAGAGACTTTGATGCATCACATTTGGAAGAAGATACTAATTATGATGTAACTATTCCACTAGATATATCACAGTCAATTACAGACAACCATGATGAAGATGACAATTATACAAGGATAGATGTTGAAGGCGTACTGTGTAATACGTAAAGTAGTTTGGTAAATCCCTTTTTTGTAGACAACATACTTTTTACATAATGATCAATTTTTCAAGAATATTTTGATATGTGGTTTATCTATCAATTCATATTGCGATGAAATGTTGAATAACATCTACTTGTTTTGATGTTGTAGGTTTTTATTCTAGCTCTAGAGAATCTTTTCAATCCGAAATACATTTTGTACGATGGACAAGACTCGGGTAATTGTGTTTTCTTATAATACATAAGATATATGCTAAGTTTTGAAAATAATTGCATTTAACTTATGCTTCCATGTTGTATTCTCAAAGCCAACTAAACAAACTTTGAAGAGTTCTAAAAGGAGAAGAGCTTCAATTGCTAATGCAATTCGAGAGACAAGTAAGAGACTAAACAATTCCAGTGAACAAGACAATACGATAACTAGTCCAACTAATGATGAGCAAACCACGTTGCCAACAACTGTAAATGCTCCGAAAAAGAAAAGAGGTCCAACACAAGTGAAGATAATTCTTGAACATAATTATCAAAAGATAAATCTAGAATTCAATAAATATGGCCAAGTTGTTGGGCAGAACTCGAAAAAATTTTCTAGCGTAGTTGGGGCCATGGTACGAGAACATGTGCCTGTTGTAATAAAGATTGGATTTCAGTGAATGAAGAGACAAAAATGGAGCTCTGGACTTTCATATAGGTAACATTTCGTAACCACCTTTTGAGATTATTATGTTGTATTTATTTCTTTCTTAATGATACCATTTTCTAAAGTCTTAAATTAATGCCAGTGCATAAATACAACAAAGGTTCAATATCAGTGATTGTCATAAAAGAATGACACTTCAATGTATGGGAAAGTATTGGAGGACATTCAAATCAAGATTGAGAAAACAAATTAGAACTCAAGTTGAATCATCTATGAATAGAGCATGCACTATTACCCTTCTTAGACCAAAGAATGTCAACTCTGAAGAAGTCTGGGTTAAATTTGTTGAGGATACTCTTTCTGCTGATTTTCATGTAAGTATATTTGCATGTAAAGCTTAACCCTTATTTTAATTATTGTTGTTTTATACTTCGTTTTTTTTTCAATAGGAGAAAAGTTCCAGGTTCAGCAACATGCGAACTAATCAGAAGCTTCTCCATACTATAGGTAGAAAGGGTTATCCACGTGTGACTTATGAAATGGTACTTCTGATGAACATATCATGTTTTTTTACTTGAATGTCCAATTTCAATATATTTGATTACTACATTTGTACAACAGAAGAAAAAGAATCCACATTTAAAAGGGTTAAGAACAGAAGTATGGAAATATGGACATCTCAGAAAAGATGGAAAACCAATTAATGAAGCAGTTGCCGAAACATTGGTATGTGTATTATACTAATGTTCAATTAAGCATAATTTGATTTATTAGTTGTATCACTTGCTACTATTTGATTTGAGTTCCATAAGTGCAGAAAAAGATTGAAGATTGTGCCACATCAATTTTCGATACGCCTGCCGAAGATTCCATCCGTGATGATGCTATAGCTCGAGTTTTAGGTCCCGAACATTAGGGAGAGTTAGGGGACTCGGATTTGGAGTTGTACCATCAAAAGTGGATGGACAAATACAAAGTAGTGGGAGAGTTAGAGAACTTGAAAGTCAAGTACAGATTCAGGCACAAAGGATGGGGGCATTGGAAGAAAAAATGGAAGCATTTATCAGGTTTTCTCAGCAGGTTATAAGTAGTTAATTTTAATACATTTTATGATTATATAGCTTTATACAGCTAATACATGTATAATAACTTTTGTAATTTTTGTATTATTATATAGAGTGTGGAGGATAGGAATTCAAATGCTTTTACTCAGGTTTTCATTTCCTATATTATTAAATGTTTATTTAATATATATTGAGTTTGTAGCATTCTAATTTAAAAAAAAAAATACTTTCTGTTTATTATGAATTTGTAGTCACACCAAGGAAGTGGTGTCCAAGGAATTACTACCCCCAAGACAAATGCAAGATGTTAACTGTTGTATTGGTACATGTTTGAGGAGGAAGAAGTCATAGCAGAAGGGAAGATTGCCACAACAGATCCAAGTGCAAAGGTGCATCACTTGCCACTCGGTTGAGACTGTTGAAAGGTTTTGGTTGAGGAAGTCTATATGGGTAATTTGACCCTATACAGACCCACAAATGAATTCCGCACTCTTAGTGAAGCCATGGGAAGTACTGTTGCTTGGCCAAAGAGTAGTATTAGACTTCTTGATTAACGTATTAGGCTCTTAGTGGCAATGGTATTGATCAAGTAACATGCGACGATTTAAAGTTTAAGTTTCGGTTTTTGAAGTTTCCTAATTACATTTTGGTAGTACATGTTTGGAGACTCTTAATTTTATTTTGGAAAAATCATGTGTTGAATATTTTACAAATTTAATGAGTAATGTGTTTGTTAGTTTATTATTTTGGTGGTACATGTTTGTTAGTTTTGAATGACTTATGTGATCAAAGAACATGATTTTTAGTAGTGAGCATAGATAAAAAAAAATGTGAATATGCTATTGCAATGTTTAAAAAACATTGCAATAGACTAGGCTATTGCAACGTTTAAAAAATGTTGCAATAGACAGGCTATCTAAACGTTGCAATAGCCTGTCTATTGCAACGTTTTTTAAACGTTGCAATAGATAGGCTTTTGCAACGTTTAGACATTGCAAAAAGTATTACCTCAACAGCAACATCAAATTTCGCAACATACGCTCAAACGTTGCAAATGACTTTTTGCAACGTTTTTTGACCGTTGCAATAGCCCTTTTTTGGTGTACTAAGGCCACCATATTCAAAACACAAATGATCAAAAAGGGTTACCAAACGGTTGGATTTTCCATCTATGTGACTACATAGTAGAAACCTATGCAGTCACATAGTTCATCTCCAAATGGGGCTGAATACCTCTCTAATGGCCTATGCGACCGCGAGCAATAACTGCACAGGCCAACTTTTAGCCTTCAAACAGTATTTTTCATTCCACTCTCCCTTTATTGATTTTTGAACAATTATACAACAATTACCAACTTGTTCAACATTTAGGGCCCGTTTGGTAGGGATTTTGAGAATTGATTTTTTGACCGTTAGAAGAAAAGTGGGGTCCACATGTGAGAGAAGAAGTCAAAAATTACGGCTTGAATAGTAAAATAACGGTCAAAAAATCAATTTTTTGGGGCAAAAAATCCCTACCAAAAGGGGCCTTAATATGGACTCATATTCAAATTATACAATACTCATGTATAAGGATTAGATATCTTTTCGATTTGAATAAATTCATAGTGTAATTCAAACAATGTAAAGTTGAGTTTTGAACTAATTATTCCATGTGACTATACCGACAGAATACACACACACAAGTATTACGCATTCTCAAGTTCCTCAAACTCGCTTAGCACCAATATGGTCTTGTGCTTATCCTTTTCAACAAACTTTTAAGATAGCGACTCCAATTCTCTATTGAGGAGGCACCACCTCGAAGTTCGTTTAGGTGAAGTTCTTCCAGTGTCTTTGTTATTTTTAGAGATACTTGTACTTAGCACTAAACTTCATTAAGAGCTTAAAGCTCATCCTTCACTTCAGTAACAACCAGCATTATTTATTAGGATAGGGTTATCGCGAATTTTAATAAGAGTAATTATATTACCATCACAAAATCTATTTACTACACCACATTACAATCATAAAACAAATACAAAATACTTTCAATACATTCACAACAAAAAATTTATAATTATATTCCTAATCCAATAAAAATTAAAAATGGAAAAAAAAGCATTGTAGTGTACTTATCACCCCAATGTTATTCCTTATTTTTTGCATCACTTCTACTCGTTCTAGATTTTTATTCACATGTTAAATGTTGTATAACTGTATTCAAAGACTCAAACAATAAATCAAACTGGAAAAAAAAATTTGTACTACTCAAACCACTCCATCCCCATGTAGATTTTGCTATGAAGATTGTCACTTGGGAGGTGTAAGAGAAGTTTGAATAAGATTATATTTCCTAAAAGGAATGATCCGATCTTGGATAAGAATTTGGGACCTGAAGTGAGAACTTATGCTAATGTTATGAGGGAAGAAGCATTGAAGCAGAAAGAGGAGGAGGTAAAGAGAGAGAGAAAGAGCGCGCGCATAGAAGGAGGAAGATGAGGTAGCAACGAAGTAAAAAAGAGAAAGAGGAAGAGAAGACAAAAGAGGAATAGGTGGTGCACTAAAAATTATGTGAGGCTGTTTAGGTAATATTACTTGAGGCTAGTTAAGTAAATAGGAAAAAAACTTAAAATTGTGGTGCATCCAGTAAAATTTGTAATTGTAATATAATTATCCTTTTAATAATACTAAAATTATCTACATATTTAATGACTTGTTGTTAACATTTTAAGTAATGACAGATAGGATTGTCATCATTGGTGGACCTTTTAGTTTAGGAGTTTCAAACTCATCCTACTCGAAGTAGACGCTACTAAATTTCTAAATAGAGATTTAGTTAAAGGATTCGCTAAGTTCTCCATTGACTTTATATAATTTAGGGAAATTATTCCATCCTTGATTAATTTCTTTATATAGTCATGTCTAAAACTCATATGTCTAGACCTTCCATTGTAAACCTAATTATATGCTTTTGACAGTGTGGCATGACTTTCACACATGATAGGTATTGAAGATGTATTTTTCAATCCCAAAGATATCTCATAAAGGAGATCCTTAATCCACTCAGTTTCTTTCCCGATTTTCAATAGTGCTACAAATTCATATTCCATATCAAGTGTGTTAAACATGTTTATTTCTTTGATTTCCAAGAAACAGCAGCTCCTCCAAGGGTGAATGCTCAACTTGAAGTGGATTTACTCTCACATTTGCTAGATATCCAACTAAAATTTGTAAATCCTTTCAATATAGCCGTGAATTTAGTATATTGTAGGCCTAAGTTCTTGGTTTTCTTCAGATATCCAAGAACTCTTCCAATGGCCTTCTAATGATCATTGCTTAGATTACTTGTAAACCTACTAAGTTTACTGATTGCAAAGGCTATGTTTGATCTTGATCATTGAATTCCATACATAAGACTCCCAATAGCACTCACATAATCCAATTGAGCAATTTCCCTTCCATCGTTCTTTACAAGCTTTGAACTTGGATAAATTGGGATACTCTATTCCTTTATACTCAAATGTTTAAACTTGTTTATCACATTCTCAATATAATGTGATTGACTTAGACGGTAAACCCCACTACTTTTAGTGACTTTGATACCTAATATGGTTTCCACATATCCAAGATCCTTCATTTGAATGTAGAAAATAGAAACCGCTTCATTTCTTATATCACATCCATGTGATTATTCCTAATCAACATGTCGTCAATATATAAACAAATAAATATCACATAATTATCACATAACTTAGAATACATACATCTATCTACCCTATTATATTTAAAATCAAATGATATTATAGTTGAGTCGAACTTTTCATGCCATTTCTTAGGTGCTTCCTTTAAACCATATAACGATTTCACGAACTTGCATACTCTATGTTTATTTTCGAGTAGTGCAAACCCTTTAGGTTTTCCATATAGACCTCCTCATCCAGATCTCCATTTAGAAATGACATCCATCCGATGAACATGCAAGTCATGTATCGAAGCCAACGTGAACAATATCATAATTAATGTTATTCTAGCTACCAGTGTATAAGTATAAAAATAGTCTATTCCTTCCTTTTGTCGATAACCTTTAGCCACCAGTCTAACCTTAAAGGTATGAAGAGAACCATTAACATTATTCTTTCTCCTAAACACTCATTTAAATCCAATAAGTTTGGATTTGGGTGGTAAATCGACAAGCTCCCATGTGTTATTTGACATAATGGAATCCATCTCATCTTTAATTGTTTCTTTCCAAAAGATACTATCACGAGAAGCAATAACCTCTCTATAAGTTTTAGGATTGATTTCCACTTGTAGACCAAAAAAAATCATTCTTACAACATTCTTCTCATTTCCTTCTACGAAGTAAAAGGAAATAAGTTGAGAGCCAATTTCATCCAGTCCTAGTGATTTCTCAATTCGAGTTCTTTTGCTCTTTCGAGGTTCACTAGATTCATTAATATCTTTAGAAAATGTTTCATCTTGAGTTCTACTAGAGCTTTGTAATTCTTTATGACTTTCCCTTAATTCATCATCCTAAGATAATGAATTCTCAAAGAACTTGATGTCACTAGATTCAATTGTCACATTGGTCTTCAAATTTAATAACCTACATGATTTGCTATTACTAGCATATCTAACAAAGACACACTTGATGCCTCTTAGACCTAACCTGGTCCTATTTGGATATGTGTTTTTACAATACGCAAGACACTCTCACACTTTAAAGTATCCAATGTTTGATTTTTTCTCCTTTCCATAATTCATAAGGAGAAACCTTTGTAAGTTTTGAAGGAATCCTATTTAGTATTCTACATGCACTCAACAATGTTTCACCCCACAAACTATATGACAATTTAGCATAAGTTAACATGGCATTTGTCATTTCTACTAAGGTCTATTTTTTCTTTCAGCCAAACCATTTTGTTCGGGTGTCCTAGGTAAGAACATTGGTAAATAATACCTTGTTGTTCACAAAATAAATTAAAATCACTAGAATAGTACTCGCCACCTCTATCACTTCTTAGAGTCTTTATTTTATTATCTAAATGATTTTCAACTTCATTCTTATATATTTTAAACATATTAAATGGCTCTTGTTTATGCTTCATCAAATGCACTTACGTATATCTTGAGAAATCATCAATGACAGTAATAAAATACCCATTTCCACCTCTACACGTCATTTAATTCACAAATATCTGTATGAATTAATTCCAAGACGCTAGAGGTTCTTTTAACACTTTAATATGGCATTTGATTATTTTAGATTCTACACAAGTTTTACACTTAAAGGCATCATTTTCATTATAGAAATCAAATTATATTTTAACATTCTTTTCATAGTACTTTTACCTATGTATCCTAATTTAGCATACCATAAAGTTAAAAAAAATCGACAATATAAGCAAATTCAATTTTATTATTATTTAATTTATCAACAGTACATAGCTTGATCATTCCTTTAAAAAAATAGCATTTTCCAACAAATGTCCTATTTAGGGATAGTACAAACTCATAGACACTTTTAATGCCCAATATTCCTAAGAGATTTCAACTAACCAAGTTCCTATTCATATTTGGAACATGAAAACACTAGTTAAAGTAACGATTTTGCCAGAAGTGAAGATGATATCCACATTTCTTTTTCAAATCACCTTAGATGAGACTTCGTTATCTATTTGGATCTCTTGGTCTCTATTCACGTCACATGTACTGTTGCACAAGTATCATA